ATTCGATCTGGGGTCTCTGACAGGAAGCAATGCAATTTTCTCCATAAAAATAAAAGCCAGATGCAATTTGACACTGTTCGTACGAGAGTCATAAAATTTTGGGTAGTTGGTGAAAAGGGTTTCGAGAAAGAAAAAAATTCTTAAGTGTGGCACCCTGGGAGGGTTCGATTTTTCTAATTATACGATTATGAGCTCAGAATCCAGAGGGGAATCCAGAGGGGCTATCTCATCAATTGCGGTCATAGGTAATACTAGATTCAGCAGAGGCGCAGCGAAGGGGGCGGGGGTACATATGTCCCCGGGCGCCAAACCTATGGTTGGAAAAATTTAAAAGCTCATTTGAGCTATAGTTTTGCATTATAAATATTTAAAAAATACGGAGAGGGGGCGCCAAATTGAAAGTTTGTCTCCGGCGGGAGGGGGGGGGCGCCAAATTGAAAATTTGTCCCCAGGCGCCAGGAATGGTGCTACGCCTCTGAGATTCAGTGATAAAACTACACCAGGTTCATCCGCCAGCTCCCCGGCGGTTGAGTGGCCCAGAGCGGCCAAGACCCATCTCGGGCGACACTACGGTTTAGATGGGCTACTATAAATGTTCACTAAGTAGAATAATGAGCGCCCGCCGGCGCCCTGGTAGTTGGCGACAGCGAGCGCCCGGGCTCTACAGAGAGTGCCTCCTTAAAGAGCACCCTACAATAGGGACACGGTGGCACACGACATTTTATAATTAAACCGAATTAGGGGCGCCCCTGCGGAAATGTAACCAGTGGCTCCCTGGAGCGCCAAGGGACGCGTCTCTAACACATGGGCGGTCGCCAATGTGTGTTCTACCTCACTATTACAGAGGTTGATTAACGTACACTCAAGGCTTTCATACAGTGAGCCTTGGTGCGTCTAGGCGGCAGTGTGGACAAACCCGCGCCCCAAAAACGAATATGTGGGTTTGTTTGTTTAAGCATTATCAAAGATTTCATTCGTTTGTCATTCAAATTTGAGAAGTTAATGCTAATACCCGTGTGGTGGTTTCTACGAAAAAAATTCGATTTGGTGGCGCCCTGGCAGGGTTCCATTTAGCTCCCCGGGTTTTCCCGTGAGTACTATGGCACCTTTGTACGTTTTAATAATTGCGAAACGCTATGAATATGATGGGCTACTATAATCGCTCACTATACCGAGTGAGGCGCCTTCCTACCTACGCCCACCTACCTATATACCTAACTCCCTGCCTACGTACCTACCTATCTACTAACCTGCCTGCGCTGCTGCCTGCCTACCTACTTTCCTACCTACCGTTATTCCTGCCAAACTGCTTTCCTTCCACCCCGCCTGTCTACACACCTCACATCCTACTTACACACACACATATCTTCGTATGTATATATGTATGTGTTAGTGTGCTCTAGGACTATGTATTTTTACATTTTTGTTGTTACGTAGAACTATTCAGTATAAAGGAGTTTCCTTTTTTCCCACGTTTTCTTTAACTTGCTTTCTCTGTGTCTGTGTTTGTTTGTCTTTGCAATCCAATCTTGCGATCGAAATTTCTGGCACTTCCCAGTTAGCTAGCGCGCTGAAATTTTCAGGGAAGCTTTGTTTTGGATGACAATTGAATATTCTATTGTTTTTATTACTAAATTAATCCATGGAAACATTTTATTGATCATTTTAGACCGCTATATAATTGTACCAAAAAACGTGGGGGAAAAGGGACATTACCCAGTAACTGTAATTTGATGAAAACAAGGTTCGGCATTCCTAACTGTAATTTGATGAAAACAAGGTTCGGCATTCCACCTCTTTTTGCTTACTGAGGAGTTGTCACGCTGTGTTTGTGTACAAACAACCATAACGTAACAACTGGTGGCCAGTATGGGGGAGACGATATGGTCGAGTGGTTGGGCACACGATTGCTATCCCACTCGACACGGGTTCAAATCTATGTGTTCTAGTCAGTAACTTTTTTACACAACGTGTTTTTTACGAGTTGTCTTTTTACGAGTTGTCTTTTTACGAGTTGTCTTCGTTTACCCAAAAAAAAAAGTGAAAAGATAAAATCGATAGCAAGATTTACATGCAAACAAACAGACAAACACTAAAAAGTAGAAAATAATAATCATTAAAAAAGTTTAAAAAAACCCACGTTTTCTGATTGAACTAAAAAGTAGAAAATAAATACTATACATCACAATAATGCAAGCGATCACTCTACTATAAGCTATCAAAAACGTGGGTCGCCAAAGTAAAAGTTATATTACTATTGATTAGATAATATTATTGACTTTTATTAGGGAGCTTGTAGAGAGTCAACAGTATTAGAAACTGTAAGAAAATCACGGCGCCCCACGTTTTTGATAGCTTATAGTAGAGTGATCGCTTGCATTATTGTGATGTATAGTATTTATTTTCTACTTTTTAGTTCAATCAGAAAACGTGGGTTTTTTAAAACTTTTTTAATGATTATTAAATTTTGACGTTGTAACTGCCGCTAAAATATTATTTTTTGCATGTGTGCATAAAATAGTGTAGGTTTATTAACAAAAGTAAATTTTAGTATGTATTTAAGTGTATATAATCATTTTCGTCAAGCCAATGTGTTCATAATCTTAAATTTAAAAACCCATGAAACTCGATAGCCAAAGATTTAGAATGAGAATAATTACTATTTAACCAGTAACACATATTCTAATTATTGTAATAATATTTTTTTAAAATAAATATACACAGAGATAGATTGTTTTCTTATATAATTTATTTAAAAAGTCAACTGTATTTCATAACGAAAATTAACACAAAATACATTCGAATAGAAACTGTCAAGGGAGACTACTCTAATATTTGTAGGAATAATAGTTTTTATTTAGAGTTTTTTTTAATTATTAGAAGAAAAGTTAATCATGTAGGTTCTATAAAAGATTACCTTGCATTTTAAAAAAAGATATTCGATAGGTTTAGAATGAGAAATATTCAAAATTATTTATTATATTCATTAGTTGTTTTATTTTAATAATATAGTACAAAGACCTGTTTTAATTATTTTTTAAAAATCTTATTTTAATTAATAAATTATAAATGAAGATCGAGGATCTATATTTTTAAAAAAATAGTTTAACTGTCCCTAAACAATTGTATCACTCGCTGAGAAATTAAGAATTAATAATTACGTTTAACGCTTTATTAATTAAACGAGTTGAATTATTTCCGTTTTGATAAACTCTCTCTCTCTTTATAACTACTAACGCTTTATCATTGAGTTTCTTAAGAGAAAAATACAGGAGAGCGGTAGTTATCATTGACTCTGTCATTGATAATTTCATTGAGTCTTTCATAGAAAATAGTGTTTGATCGGCTGCTCTTTTTCTTTCTATCACTCTCTCCATCTCTCTCTCTTTATATATATATATATATATATATATATATATATATATATATATATATATATATATATATATATATATATATATATATATATATTTATAGGCCTATATATATATATATATAAATATATATAAATATATATATATATATATATATATATATATATATATATATATATATATATATATATATATATATATATATATATATATATATATATATATATATATATATATATATATATATATATATATATATATATATATATATATATATATATATATATATATGTATATATATATATATATATATATATATATATGTATATATATATATATATATTTATTTATTTATTTATATATTTATATAATAATGCAAGTGTGTTGTTAAAAGGTTGGTTTGTTTTGTTGTTCTTCATGCAGTACTACACTTTTCATCCTATCGCCATGAAACTTTGGAGAGTTGTTGGGAATACTTTGAAAATCCTGTATAACATGTACCCAAGTTTAACAGGAAAAGCAATATACTTCCTGAACACGGGTAAAGCCGGATATATACTGGTTAATAAACACATATGTCACGGTCCTTTACATATGGGCTTTTCACAAAGGCCAGTGTAGGGTCTGGCCCTGACGGCTAGTAAAATATAAAAGGCAAAAGTTGTTCCGTACGTACGAAGGTCACATTCGATTTTTCTGCATAGAAATCTAAATGCGTGCACCGATTTCGTTCCATTTTCGCAACATTTAAGAATTATAACAAAAGGAATGTCATCAAGAATTTTTCAAGCTAAATTGCATGAAGATTCAAATTGTTTTCAATGGAGGACACGATTGTTTGTTTTTTTTTAAAATATATTTTGACTTCATAATGTTAGTAAAAAAAATTAAAAAAATAAAAACTTAAGCCTAAAATAATTCAGAAATTTAATTTTTTAAGAATCAATGTTATAAAAGTTGAGTTTAAAGCTATATTTCTATTTATATTCACAAAGTCTAAGTTATAACACTTTGTTCTACTCTCGTAAGAAAAACAGTAGTTAGCTGTATATTAAGTTCAAGATCGAATTTCTGCTTCAATATTTAATGGATATTACGTACACAATTTTTTTTTTAAACCATATGAATATTTTTGCCATTTTTTTACATTGAATGATAACATTTATTCTAGCCTATCGAACATGTCGTTTATGTCGCCATTACGACGTGGAAAATAGTATTTGATTTGTTTTTAAATTCCATTTTAATTACCAAAAGTTATAAAAAGTCAATGCAGCTACTCTTTTTTAAAGTTCGAAAAAAAGTTAGGAATTCATAAACATATTAATTTCAACTACACTGTGTATGATTTTAAAAAAATAAAATGGGCCTCATGAATAAAGTAAATGAAATTAGCTCAATCAGTATGTATCAAAGTCTTATAATTAAATCTAATTAACTCTTGAATTATAATAACAATTATTGAGATTAACTGTTCGGCAAACCTGCACAGCGCGTATAAGCTTGTGAATAAAACGTTTATTACAAAACTATGAGCTAATATTTATGTGTTATTTATAGACAATATAATCCCGATTAAAATAAAGAGAAAGTATACAATTGTAAAAACATATAACAATTAACTACCTTATTGCATTCAGCTTGCCACAACTAGTCCTTTAAATGCACACAACAGTTGTGTAAGTAGGTGATATGGGTCGTGAACAGGAAGTCACCTGAGTATTACGTCAGCCGCGGGTTATGTTTGTTTACCACGCTTGAGCGGCTATATAAGTTAACTGTTGAGGTAAACATTATTTAAAACTTCAAGGTCAAAGGTCACTCACAAGTTATTGTTAATCTAAAGGACGTTAGTTCATCTAATTTTTGACGTGTGATTCAATTAATGATGTCAGTCATAAAATCTAGTTTTTTGCCAAGGAATAACTAATTTTTAGACATATCTTTCAATACATGACTTTTCAGTTAAAAATACTTTAAAGCAACAAGAAAACAACAGTGATATAGTACCCCTATCCCCCGCCCCCTCTAATAAGTAAAATAACCTGTTAGAACTAGAACGTCTATCTTGGTGAAGTAGAAACCACTAAGTTCATCGTGTTACCTGACACACGAGACTCGAAGCGGCTGGTGTGTTCCGTTCTATGACACACATAGTGATCTATTTGTTCAATGAACCTTTGAAATGGTTGGCTTCAAGTTAAATCTTTACATGCTATTTTTAGACTTGGTTTTTTCTGGCTTACATCACGACCTGAAATATCTTAGTTTGGACTTCAAACATTTGTAAAACGCTAGTGATGTCATTTTATTTTGAGTTCTGATCTCTCTGTCCTAGCCCACATTACATAGTAGTCGTTTATTATTAGTAGCCGACATTTAAAGAAAAAGTATAAGCTAACATCTTCAACTGTAAAGTATGATAGTTCACATTAAATTGATTATTTTTATTTGATGCCTTAGAAACAAATCAATTGAAATAGTCTGTGTTAAGGGGGCAGTATCACCCAGACATTTGAAAATTGACGAAAAAATTTGCAAAAAAAAAAACTATTACACATACACACATAATTTTTTTACCATAATAGTAATTAATAAGGAGCTATAAAACAGCACATAAAAGAAAATTAACTTATGATGCAAACATTTTTTATAAATAATTTAACCAAAATTTTTTAACTAAGTAATTTGTGGCTGCGGTTTTCCAACATTTAGGCCCTTCCTGCTGAAAATACACTGGGGGATGCATAACAGTATTGCCTATCGCTGGAACTAGAAGATATCCATTGTGACAAATTTAGAAATTTTTAGAATTTTTCAAAGTCAGACTAAAAATATTGAACTTAGTAATTTTCTTAAAAATTTATTTATTTATTTTTTTTTTTTTCTCTTCTTTTTACGTCTCAGTGTTGTAGATTTGACTTTCAGCGCGCCCAGCCAATGAGTGGTGGCAGTTGCTGATTTTTACTACGTTCATCATGCGACATAAGAAGACTGGTGCAGATTTACAATATAAACTATTCCTGAAACTTTCATTCTCAAAATTTTTTACATGTTATTTACAGAATAAAATATGTATTTTATAGGGAGGGGGGGGGGGGGTTTATTTCATGGGCCAATAGCAATTTGCTGTTTCTGAAAATTAAAGTTATAATTGGGGAAATATTTGGCTATAATAAATAAAAGTGCTGAGTTATGGTAAACTTTATATTAACAAAATTTGGCTTCGAAGGTTGGTCTAGGCTTCCTAAAGGGGGGGGGGGGAAGTACAAATAGTTATATATGAAGTATACAGGAAAACATGATATGTTACGTACAATAGGTAGTTGCTATTTCTAAATAATAAAGTTGAAAAGGGGACAATATTTGTCTATGATAAATAAAAGTGATGAGTTGTAGTAAACTTTATATTAACAACATTGGCTTCAAAGGTTTGTCTAGGCTTCCTAAAAGAGGGGCGAAGTACACATAGTTATTTCTGAAGTATACAAAAAAAAAAAAAACCATGATATATTATGTACAATAGGTAGTCATTTGCATTCACACTTTCCATTTGTACCTATTATCTGCAAACAGTCTTCATTTTTTTTTTTTTTTTTTTTTTTTAATCAAAATTTTAAAATAATTAAACTTCAAAACAAACTTATTAATTAATTTAGGTAGGTAATGTACAGAGATGATCGTTAAATCAAATATGTTGAACGTATTTGAATTACATAAAAGGACACATTTATAAGAGGGGAGCGGTGGTGGGTCAGTGAGGGGGGGTGGGTGGTGGGTGGGGGTTGGTTGGGTAAGGCGACCTAGATAGCGTGATCGTTTTTGCTACGCTGAGTAAACAAAAATCGTTCACTGGGAAGTTTGGTTGGGGGTGGGGGGAGGGGGTTGGTTGGCTGTGGCAGGCCAGGCGCTGGGAGCGTTGTTGCGTGAAATGAACGCTGTTGCGTGACATGACTGCTACAAGGGGGAGATAAAAATCTCCCAGTCTCACGATAAGAGTGTAAAACTAGTAACATCTTACTTTAACATTCACAGTGAAACATTACCAGTGGGGTGGATTTCCATGTATGGCAAAGTAAAAGGGTAGTATAGTTACAAAGATTTCAAGTAACAGATTTTTACTCTTGCTAAGTGGTTGGGGTAAAGAGGGGTTGCAAAGATTATTTATAAGTAAAGTAACCAATAATTTATTCAAGGGTAGGTTTGAGTGAGGGGAGGGGGAAGTTGGTTGGGTGTGACGGGCCATGTACTGGGAGCGGTGTTGCGTGACCTAACGGCTGTGGTATCATATTTATAGTGTGTGTGTTCGTGTGTTTTCCCTGTCAAGTCGTCTGTTAAATATCAAGTCCAAAGTCTGTCTGTTAAACTCTGTCTCGTTGTATTTTGCCCTATTTCTGCAGTTCCAAATTATTTGTCTGTATATTGCTACTGTTCTTATTTTTTGTTCCAGTATAGTCCGGTCTTGTTGTTTTGGTACTTTGTTTAGCGTTATTCCTATATCAACATTGAAGGTCTCGTTCTTATTTCTTATTTTGGTTTCTAACGTTTTCTTCATGGTCTGGATGGTTGGGCAGTCTAGGTAGATGTGTGTTTCTGTTTCTGGAGTGTCTTGTTTGCATAGATAACATAGGGATTTTTGTTTGCGTGTCGCTAGTGGTGTGTTGGTCTTGTGTTGGTGTCCGTGTCTCAATGGTGTTGTGTTGTAAATCAGTCTGTATGTTATTTCCCGTTCCTTAGGTGTTATTGTTTTGAAATGAAGGTTTTTAAAAGTGTCCGTCGTGTCTGTTAAAGCGAATGTCCTGCACCAGGATATTCTATTGTAAAGAGGGGTGGCAAGCTTCTGTACTAATTTCCTATAAATCTGTTGAGATTTCTTTTTTAAAAGGTTTTCGTTAGTTTTAAAGATTTGTATACATTCTGCATAGAAGTTGTTTAATTTATATCCTATGAAATGTTGGGAGTTATTGTTAATTTTTATATGTTTATTTAGATTAATCCCTATGTAATAATGTGCTAATGGGTGGTGTTGTGGTTCACTAACTATTCTGTTTACATGTGTTAGTCTAAATGTGTTTATTTTAGTTTGTATGTCGTGTAGATTTATTCCCCCGTGTATTTTGCTTTGGACTAGTGTGATGTGACTGATGTTGCCTATAGTGTGTTGGAAGATATATCTCCTAATGAGCTTGTTTATTTCTTTGATTGTTGGTTTTGGGACTGTTTGGGCTGTGGCGATGTATGTTATTTGGGGTATAATGTATCTGTTTGTGATTGCGGCTCTTGTAAAAATTGTTGTCGTGCTGTACTTGTAGAAGTCTATAGTTTTCTTAATTTTGTTTATAATTTCTTTCCATCTTTTGTTATTTTCCAGCGAGGGATTGTTCTGGTGTGTTATGCCGTATATGTGTAATTCGTTTTTAGCTGTCATGTTTAGTGGATATGTTTGTCTGTTTTTCCAACGTCCTAGTCCCATAATTTCTGTCTTGTCTAAGTTAATTTTTGTTCCACTAGCCTGTCCATAGTCAATGAATTTTCCTACCACTAATTTTATTGAGTTTTCCGTCTGCAAAGTAAAGGCGGTGTCGAAGGCGTATGCTAATATCTTTTTATTCGTCAAGTTCGGTATGTCTATTCCTTTAATGTCTGCGTCTCGTCTGATATTTTCTAATAAAGGTTCTAGGGTTAAAATGTATAATATGGGTGATAGGGGGCATCCTTGTCTAACTGATTTGTGTATACTGAACGGTCTGGTTATGTTACTGTTTATAAGGAGGTGGCTTTTTGCGTTTGTGTAAATTATTTTGATCCAAGTGTTGAAATAACTGCCTAAGTTATATGTCTTGAGTGCTTTGTGTAGGTATTTATGTGAGACTCTGTCAAATGCTTTTTCTTGGTCTAATGTTAAAATGCAGGCTTGCGTGTTTTTCTCGTGTGTGTATTGTATAATGTCCCTAATTAGATGGTTGTGGTTCTGTATGTTTCTGCCTGTGACGCTGCATTGTTGGTCTGTATGTATTAGTTTTGGTAGGTGTGGTTCTAATTTGGCTACGAGTGCTTTGGTTAGTATTTTGTAGTCTGTATTTAGGAGTGATATGGGTCTATAGTTTTTGGTTAGTTTAGGGTCTGTTTTTGGTTTATGGATGAGTGTTATGTATGATGTATTGAAGTTTTCGTGGCATTGTTCTAGCATGTATATTTCTTTGAATGTATCTAGTAGGAGGGGGCTTAAGTCTGCGATGAAAGTTTTGTAGAATTCACTTGTCAGGCCGTCGGGTCCGGGGGATTTATTGTCGTTAAGTTTTTGAATGGCTTTCCTAATGTCGTCTAGGTTAAAGGGCGTATCTATTATGTTTTTGTCGTTGTCGTCTAGTGGTTTGATGTAGCTTAGGTATTCGTCTTGTTTCTCGTTGTGTGTCGCTTCTCGTTTGTAAAGTCGTTAATAAGGATTGTATCTTTTCAGGGTCTGTCGTTTCTTGGTTGTTTTCGTCCACAATTTGTTTGATTTGTTTGGATCTTTGTATGCTTTGTTCTAGTATGAGTGTGTGGTGTGTAGGGTTTTCTGATCCTATCCTGTCTATTTTGCTTCTTATTTGTGCTCCTCTGTATTTGTATTCTTGTATTTCTGTCAATTTGTTTTCCAATGTGTCGATGTCTTCCCTACTGCCATTTGTTTTCTTAAGTGTTTTTAGTTGGTCTTCTATTCTTTTTTCCCTATCTTGTCTGATTATGTTGATGCTTTTGGCTATTTGTATAGTTGTTTGTTTGAT